TCCAGACCTGGCAGCTTGCTTTCTCTCTCTCTTTCTCCACCCCCCACTCTGTCCCTCTCTGGTCAAATTAAAAATAAGTTAAATAAAATAATTCTTTTAAAAAAAGGAAAAAATATGATAAACTAGTAAGAAAAACTTGAATACCCCAACAGAACAAAAAACATGAATATATTAGGAAAAAAATACAAATGGACAGTAAGCATAAAAAATAATCACACAAATTTCTTTTTTATTTTATTTAAAAAATTTTTTTAGAGGTTTTTGCTATAAGGCACGTGCACTCGCCAGACAGACAGAGAGAGACAGAGAGACAGAAAGTGAGAAATCACCCCCCAGGGGGGATGGCCATGCCACAATCCCTTCTCTCCTTTCTCCTCTCGGGATCTTGGGCACGCACGCACATGCACCCGGCCTGAGTTTTAAGTCACCGGGTCTGGGACTCGAACCACGGTTGACTACATGGGAGTCCAGCGACATAGCCATTACGCTAACTGCTGGTCCCAAACAAATTTCTTTTTTAAAGAGTTTTTCTATAGGCATGTGTGCTTGCCAAAGAAACAGAGACAGGCAGACAGAAAGCGCGAAATCACTTTTTTAAAGAGTTTTTCTATAGGCATGTGTGCTTGCCAAAGAAACAGAGACAGGAAGACAGAAAGCGAGAAATCACCCTCCCAGGGAGATGGCCACGCTGTAATCCCTTCTCCCCCATTCCTTTCTCAGGATCTTGGGCATGCGGGTGCATGTTCCCAGACAGAGGGTTTTTCTTTTTTAAAGAATTATTTTATTTACTTTATCTTTACTTAATAATAATATTATTTATTATATTATTATAATAAGAATTAATGTAATTCATTATTATTAAGAGAACAAGAGAGAGGGAAAGTGAGAAAGCAAGCCACCAGGTCCAGGACTCGAACTGTAGTCAGCCATGTGGGAGTCCAGCACCCTTAATCACCACTCAGTCCCCCTGGCCTGAGTTTTAAGTCACAGGGTCCAGGGACTCAAACCACTACATGGGAGTCCAGTGACGTAACCATCACGCCATCTGCTGGTTCCCAATTTATTTTCTTTTTAACCTGGCCAGGATTTATTGATAAAAGCAGGTTAATACTCAATAATGATATGGTTTATCAGAACTGGTCACAGCTGGTCATAACTGGTCAAAGACCTAAGATTCAATATCAGGTCTGTCTGATTTTAATCAGAAACATTAACCTTAAGAGTCAAAAAATATTTATCTATTATAACCTTGGGCAAGACACTACTAACCTGTCCCAAGTTAATGATGTGGTTAATGAGAACTAGTGACAGCTGGTGATAACTTTCAACTCTCTTGAGATTCAATAGCAGGTCTGTCTGATATTAATCAATAGCATCACCTAGTCAAAAAAGTTCTATAACAACCTTGGGCAAGGCACTTACCCTGTTCTGGGTTCACTTCTCTAACATGCAAAATGTAGGAAATATCTTGAATAGGGGCCAGCAGGTGGCATGGTGGTTAAGGGCACTGGACTCCCACATAGCCCACCATGGTTCAAGTCCCGGACCTGGCAGCTTGCTTTCTCACGGCCCCCGGATCCCCAGCTCTGTCCCTCTCTGGTCAAATTAAAAATAAGTAAATGAAGTTAAATGAAATAATTCTTTAAAAAATTATCTTGAATAGCTTTGATGAGATTAATTAAAATTATGTACAAACACACATAAATTTATCATGTGACTGGTACTTAATAAATAATAGCATCTATTCCTCTCTAGCTCAGACAGACTGACTACTCAAAAAGCTTCAAACACATTTTGGGGAAATTACAACCTTACCTGCTGCAAACTCCTCAATTGTCATCAGCGGGAACCGAATTAAGGAAAGTGCTTTTCCTAGAACTTTCTGTTTGTTTCCAAAAGTGACAGGCAATTGTTGTCTCTGACATTCTGCTTCTGCCCAGCGTACAACAGCTCCAAAGAGTCGACTTTCTCGAATACTAAGTGTGTCTCTTTCTAGTACTGCACACAGTGTATCTATAGATAAAATACAAAAAAATCAAATGAGAACTATTCTGTTCTTTAACGAAGCATTAATGACATACATATTAACTTTTCACATCTCAATGTAAAATAAGTTTTTTAAAACTTCAGACTGTATACTCTAAAATATCAGAGAATTTAAAAAATTACACTCCAATGCATTCTTTAAGATTAATACTCAATGTACTACACGTATTTCTGACCCAAAATTCTTGGGATCAGAAGTGTTTTGGATTAGGGATTTTTTTTTTTTTTTTTTTGTTTTGGATATTTACACATACATAATGAGATATCTTGGCAATGGAACTCAAGTCAAAATAGAGAATTCATTTATGTTTTATATACCTTATACATAGAGCCCGAAGGTAATTTAATAAAGTTTTTTGATATTGCAATGTTTCATCACATGATGACAGGTGTATAATCTTCCACTTCTGATACCATGTCTGCACTCAAAAGAGATTCAGACTTTGGAGCATTTCAGATTTTAGATTTTCAGATTGGGGATGAAATAAAATAAACCTGTATTTACCATACATGCTAATTTATAAAGTAACTCCTTATATAGACATGTCATTTAGCAGGCAAATGCAAATATTTAGTATAAAATTAATAATAATCTTATTATGAAAAAGGTTAACTAGATAAATTCATAAATGTCTACAAATAACATTCACTCAGCAAATATTTCTTATAAGTACTATGTGCCATCTTTTAAAAAGCACTAAGGTAATTAAGCCTTTTAGGATATATTTGCCAAAATCAAAGAAAGCAAAACCCAAAAGAGGTAACTTCAACCAAAAAAAAAGCTGGATGCTCACTTAGTTAACCACGATTCAAGTCCCAGATCCAGTGACTCAAAATTCACACCAGGCACATGTGCGTGTGTGCGTGCATGTCCCAGATCCCGGGAGGAGAAGGGATTGCTGAGTGGCCATCCCCCATGGGGGGGGGGGGCATTACTCACCTTCTGTCTCTCTGGCGAGTGCACGTGGCCTACAGCAAAAATTTCTCTCTAAAAAAGGGAAGCCAACAACAACGCAGCCCACAGTGAACTCACCTATGTCGATATCGGTGAACCCTTCTGCACTTATGGCATCCATTGTGCTTTTGTCTATCGTGTCTAGACAAAGGCTGGCGAGCTGAGGTTCATCAAATAATCGGGCCTACACATACAAAGACAGTTGTCTTACTTTCAGGGTTGTTTTACCGTTAGCTAACATATTCGAAGTTGGTACAACTGCTAATTACATAAAAACATCAACTTAAAATACCATTGGAATGTTTCCATATTCTTAAAACTTGGTTTACAATCAGAAATGAAAAGTTAGAAACACAAATGCTTTGAGATAAACTCACATCCCAACAACAATCCTGTTATTTTCACATGCACTTACATTCCTCTCATTTCTTGGTATTCACAAGGGATTGGTTCCAGGACCCCCCCAAGAAGACCAAATCCATGGATGCTCAAGTCCCTTATATTAAATACAATGTAAATGCTATGCAAACACTTGCATTATTTCTAAAATTTGTAATATTTTTAAATCTTTTTTTTTTTCTGAATATTTTCTACCTTCAGTAGGCTGAATCCACAGATGGAAATCCAATGGGTATGAAGTGCCAACTGTATTTATGCTAATCTTAACAAAAAACCCCCCGAATCAGGTAAGGCAGGCATTATCTGGAGGTGCTGGAGGTGGGGAGAGAGGTTCAGACAGGTGTGACGACTGGCTTACGGTCATCTAGCTAGGTCCGTTACAGAACTAGGACAAAACCCAGACTTAAATTCTAGTCTCATAATCTTTTCACTAAACTGCAGTTATCAATCCCCAAGCACATCACTATAAACGTAGCTAATTCTTTTCTATTGCATGTTTTGATTGGGAGGGAAAATGGAATATAAGAATTTTAGAGCATGAGGTGTATGTGCGTGTGTATAAACCCCCATGGGAGGAGGTGGAACTAAATATTTGACAGTAAGCTGTATACATAATGGCATTTTATTATTAAATTTCCTAATAAGTACATTTTCTTTACTTTTTTTTGGAGAGATTTTTGCTATAGGGCGCGTGCGCTCGCCAGACAGACAGAGAGAGACATAGAGACAGAAAGCGAGAAATCACCCCCCAGGGAGGATGGTCACGCCACAATCCCTTCTCTTCCATTCTCCTCTCGGGATCTTGGGCACGCACGCACACGCGCCCGGCGTGAGTTTTAAGCCACTGGGTCCAGGACGCGAACCGCGGTCGACTACGTGGGAGTCCAGTGACATAGCCATTACGCTAACTGCTGGTTCCCATAAGTACATTTTCTTAAAGTTATACTACTGGGTTGTCAGAAAAGTTATGCTGTATTTTTTTGTTTTTATGCAAAAATACATCATGAGCTTTCCAACAACTAAATACATAACTATAGTAATTAATCTTTTTTTTTCTTTCTTTCTCCTATAGCACAGTAATTCTTAGCTTTTTGGGCTCAGGATCCTTTTACATTAGTTTGAGGACTCAAAAGCTTACTTTTGTTTCAGAGAGTTCTTTTTTTTTTTGGAGAGATTTTCGCTATCGGGCATGTACGCTCGCCAGACAGACAGAGACAGAAAGCGAGAAATCACTCCCCAGGGGGAATGGTCACGCCACAATCCCTTCTCCTCCATTCTCCTCTCGGGATCTTGGGCACGCACGCACACGCGCCCAGCGTGAGTTTTAAGCCATCGGGTCCAGGACGCGAACCGCGGTCGACTACATGTGAGTCTAGCGACATAGCCATTACGCTAACTGCTGGTTCCCTAGTAATTAATCTTTAATAAACTCAACATTAATACATTATTTTTATATCATCCACCATCTGTATATTAGTTTTGTAACTTAAGCTAATAATGTTTTTGTAACATTTTTCATTCTAGTACCAGATCTATTCCAGGATCACGGTCCTTGTTTTGTTTTTGTTTTTTTTTTTAATAGAGATTTTTACTATAGAGCACATGCGTTTACGAGAGACAGAGACAGAAAGCAAGAAATCACTCCCTGGAGGGATGGCCACATTGTAATCCTTTCCCCTCCATTCTCCTCTCGGAATTATGGGCATGCACACACACACACCCACTGTGAGTTTTAAGCCACCAGGTCCAGGACTCAAACAGTGGTCAACTACGTGACAGTGCAGTGACGTAACAATTACGCCATCTGCTGGTCCCTACAGTACATTTTAAAATTATGAAACAGTACATTTTTATCAAGTGAAATTGTAATGTCAGCAGATTTTTAAATTAACTGGCACAACTAAATTTTCAGTTGGTATTCATGCAGAAATTGATTTCACTCTACAGAAAACAATTTTAAAAAATTATTTTATTGAAAAGCTGGCAGGTGGCAGATACTTGACTCCCATATGGCCAACTGCAGTTTGAGCCCTGAACCTAGAGGCTTGCTTTCTCACTTTGCCTCACTCCTCAATCCCCTTTCCCCCCTGGGGTCACTCTGTCCTTCTCTGGTCAAAATATAAATAAATAGTTAAATAAAAATAATTCTTTAAAAAAAGCTATTTTAGGGGCTGGCAGGTGGTATGATTAGGGGCACTGGATTCCCATGTGGCTGACCATGGTTTGAGTCCTAGGCCTGGCGGTTTGCTTTCTCACTTTCTCTCCCTCTCTCTCTCTCTCTCTGGTGAAACTAAAGTAAGGGGACCAGCAGGTGGTGTGGTGGTTAAGGGCACTGAACTCCCACATGGCCAACCATGGTTTGAGTCCTGGACTACCTGGCAGCTTGCTTTCTCACTCCCCCCCCCCTCTCTTTCTCACTCTGTCCCTCTCTGGTCAAATTAAAATAAATAAATAAAGATAAAGTTGAGAAGAATAATTTAAAAAAATAAAAATAATTATTAAAAAATTAAGTAAATAAAGTTAAATAAAATAATTCTTTTAAAATTTATTTTATTTAGGGTAGCAACTCAGATTAAGGACAAGCATACCTTGGTGAAATCGAGGAAGATGGTTCCAGATCATTTGTATTAAAGAGACTGCCATTATTAAGTGAGATACAGATTGTTTGGTTCCTCAGTACACATAATAAAACTTACGTAGTCTACTAAGAGAGCAACAGCAATATGTCTAGAAAGACAAAGTATATACCTTAATTTAAAAATACTTTATTGCAGGACCAGCAGATGGCGTAACGGTTATGTCACTGGACTCCTACGTTGTGTTGACCATGGTTCAAGTCCCAGACTTGGCAGCTTAAAACTCACACCATGCGTGTGTGCGTGTGTGCCCAAAGGAGAGGAGAATGAAGGAGAAAAAAATGGCGTGGTCATGCCTTCTGGGGATGATTTCTTACTTTCTGTTTCTCTGTCTCTTCAGTGAGTGGATGCACCTTACAGGAAAAATATCTCTCTTAAAAAAATTCATAGCTAAGGATCATATGAATCTTCAAGGGGATGTAATCTTTTTCCTGGTGGATGGTCTGGCACTTCTATTTTATGGAGACAGTGTCTTTCCTTAAGTTTCATGAGCCAATGTGTACTACCTTCAAACTTTTCTTCTGCAGTCTCCTCACCTCTCAGTCTACACAGAGTTGGAGAGAGTTAGGGCGTTGGTGTGGATTAGGTTTGGTCCTAACGGAGTGTTATGGCTAGTTTTTTCTACTATCTAGGCCACTAAAACGTTCTCCATGTCAGCAATGAGGCTGTTGCACTTTCTTATCATTCGTGTGTTCACTGACAGGGCACTTTTCATTCCCTTTAGGAACTCTTGCTCAGGATTAGCAGATGGAGCAATAGTTATATCACTGGACTCTCCCACCACTGACTGTGGTTCAAGTCCCTGACCTGGAGGCTTAAAACTCACGCCAGGCATGTGTGTGTGTGTGTGTGCCCAAGATCCCGAGAGGAGAATGGAGGAGAAGGGACTGCGGTGCGGCCATCCCCACAGGGGGAGATCTCTCGCTTTCTGGTGAGCACATGCAACCGATAGCAAATTTCTCTCCTAAAAAAAAAAGAACTCTTGGCTAACAAGAAACCTTGTTCTTGGTCTCTTCCAGCTTCCAACATGCCTTCCTAACTTAATCATCTCTAGCTTTTCATTTAAGTGAGAAATGTATGGCTCTTCTCATCACTGAATGCTAAGAGGCACTGTAGGTTTATTAGTTGGCCTAATTTTTTTTTTTTTGGAGAGGTTTTTGCTATAGGGTGTGTGCGCTCACCAAAAAGACAGAGACAGACAGAAAGCGAGAAATCACCCCCCTGGGGGGATGGCCACGCCACAATCCCTTCTTCTTCACCATTCTCCTCTCGGGATCTTGGGCACGCACGCACATGTACCGGCATGAGTTTAAGTCACCAGGTCTGGGACTCGAACTGCGGTAAACTACATGGGAGTCCAGCGACATAGCCATTACACCAACTGCTGGTCCTGTTGGCCTAATTTTAACATTGCTGTGTCTCAGGGAAAAAGGAGGCCTGAAGAAAGAGAGAGAGATGAGGGAATAGCCGACCTACACTCATCAATCAAGCTTGCCATCTTACACGGGCACAGTCTATGGCCTCCTAAAACAATGACAACATTAACATCAAATATCACCCATCAAGGGTCATCATAAAAGATGTAGTAATAACAAAAAAGTTTAAAATACTGCACAAATTACTGAAATATGACACAGAGACATGAAGCAATCACATGCTATTAGAAAAATATACCAATAAACTCGCTCAACACAAGGCTGCCACGAATCTTCAGTTTGTGAAAAAAACAACAGTATCTGCGAAGCGCAATAAAGCTAAGAGCAATAAAACAAGTTACCAAGTTTCTTAGGGAATCTATTGCTGCTGCATGGGGTAAAATACATTATCGCAAGATTGGACTCAGGCATCATCTTTTGGGGGGGGGCGCGGAAGGTTTTTGCCATAGGGCGCGTGCGCTCGCCAGACAGACAGAGAGAAACAGAGACAGAAAGCGAGAAATCACGCCGCAATCCCTTCTCCTCCATTCTACTCTCAGGATATTGGGCACGCACATGTGCTCAGCATCAGTTTTAAGCCACTGGGTCCGGGACACGAACGGCGGTCGACTACGTGGGAGCCCAGCGACATAGCCATTACGCTAACGGCCAGTCTCAGGCATCATCTTTGATAACACCCCACAGAAAACGTGTTCTCCATCTGGATCACTGGTACAGTGTAACTGGCACTTTCAGAGTGAAGTGCCCTAGGCCTCCTCAAGTAAAGGAACACTCTCAGTTCAAATGACTCACTTGGCAGGAACAAGAAGTCCACATGACAATTTGTGGGCTAGTTCACATGATCCATCAATGAAAAATCTGATGGTACGGAGTTCTCAGGTCAAATGACACTGAAAAGATCCTTTTCCTTGCAGAAACATTGTACCTAAAAGCCTGTCAGGAAGAACTCTCAGGTCCTATCCCAAACCTCCTGAACCAGGTCTGCACTTTTTAAAAAGAATTATTTATTTTATTTTGTTTGTTGTTGTTGTTATTTTTAATTTGACTAGAGAGAGACAGAGAGAGAAAGAAAGGGAAAGTGAGAAAGCAGGCCGACAGGTCTAGGACTTGGGTCATGGTCAGCCATACGAGAGGTCAATGCCCCAACCACCATGCCACCTGCTGGCCCCAGGACCTGCATTTTAACGGCCAAAGTTTAGTTTATTGATTTCTTGGAGTTTAGAGGCGATCGTCTTTCTCTGGCATATTGAAACGTTTCCACTAAGTGCAATATGCACATTGAAAAATGTCCATATTGTACATGAAAAGCATAATTAATTTTTTAGAGAGATTTTTGCTATAGGGTGCGAGCACTCACCAGAGAGACAAAGAGAGAGACAGTAAACTATTGACTAATATGGGCTTCCATTTGTCATCTTCAAAATAGGGTAATAACAGGAAACGACATCAAAGAGACATAAAGAGGGCCGTGTGTGATAACACACGCAAACGGGCGAGCTGAGTGTCTGGGGCGCGCGGAGTTTTATAATTACGTTCAGGAAGAAGTGACACCAGCATGTTCTTTTCTCCATGTACCACAAACACGTAATGACAAAGGTTTTTTAAAGGGCACCCGACATTTTCTATGATGGAATGAGCGCGGGATTAGAAACATGGGCCCTGACCCGCTGAGCCTACGTGAAACTCTGAAAAGATGTCAATTAGCCCAGGTTTCGGTTTCCCATATGTAAAATGAGAGGGTCGGGCTAGGGGTCATCAGTGATTATTTCCAGAACTAACAGGCAATAGAATTGTATTTCACCAACTTAGAATTTCCTTTTTTTTAGTTCTCCGTAAGGCACATGTGCTTGTCAGGAGACAGAGGGAGAGAAAGAGGGAGGGAAAGTGAGGAATCATCCTCTTGGAGGAATCGCCATGCCACAATCCCCTTTCCTCCATTCTCCTCTCAGGCTTTTGGGCACATACACGCGTGCCTGATGTGATTTTCAAGTAGCCTGGTCTAGGACTTGCACTGTGCAGTGCAGTCAGCTATGTGGGATCCAGCCACTTTAACCGCCTTAACCATCATGCCACCTGGCTAGCCCCCAACTTAGAATTTTTTAAACAATTCATATAAAAGGTTTTTTTTTGGAGAACTTTTTGCTATAGGGCATGTGCGTCTGCCGGGAAGACAGAGACAGAGAGACAGAAAGCGAGAAATCACCCCCTAGGCGGATGGCCATACCACAATCTCTTCTCCTCTTGGGATCTTGGGCATGCAGGCACACGTGCCTGGCGTGAGTTTAAGCCACTGGGTCCGGGACTTGAATCGCAGTCGACTACATGGGAGTCCAGCAACATAGCCATTACGTCAACTGCTGGTCCCGTGATATAAAAGGTTTACAGCATTGTCCAAAAACAATTTATTTATATCCAAAGTACGAAGCTCAGATTCCAAGCATTTAACAAATGCTAAATAAGATACATTACTGGTTCCACAGGTGGACTTAAACTGTTAAATTCATTACACTGGGACCCACAGATGGCATAATGGTTAACGTTGCTGGGCTCCCAGGTAGTAGACCGTGGTTCAAGTCCCCGATCTGGTGGCTTAAAACTCACATTGGGCATGTGTGCCCAAGACCCCTGAGAGGAGAATGGAGACGATATTGTGGCAAGGCCATCCCTCTGAGAGTGATTTCTCCCTTTTTGTCTCTCTCTGTCTCTCTGGCAAGTACACGCATCCTACAGCAAAAAAAAATCTCTCTTAAAAAAGAAAATCATTACGCTGTACATATACAGTATGGGGATTTTTTCAATATGGATATTGCACTTAGTGAAAACTTTTCCATATGTCAGAGAAAGACAATCTCATATAAACCCTAAAATTCTAACCTCTCTTGAAGTGGGTCAACAAGTTGTCAGTTACAAGTCCAAAGACAGTGAATTTTACAACTTTGTTGGACTCAAAACATTCCATCTTTACTCTAGGTCCTACAAAAACTGAGAATGAAGATGTTCAGAAACTTCATGCTATCATATTCCCAATCACAGCGGGGACAACAGTGGACCTTGATGAGCGCTATACTCCTTAAGAAGCTACCTAATCTTGAGTCGTAACACCCCCACTCATGTAAGCCTTCTTTACCTGCATGATTCAGCATTACATTAATTCTAATTCTTCAATCTTGTGAATCTGATATATTTTCCTGAATCGTACTATACAAATTAGGATATATATTTTAATGATCTAGAGTTAACTTGCTAAGAAATATTAAACATGCATATATAATTACACTTACACTTAAAATTTTCAGCTACAATGACATATTCCTTAGCTACACTAACTTACCTGAGTAAGTAACATAAAGGCGTTATCTGCCCGGAGGTGTTTGGTCAGAAATTCCACACAATGTGCTTCCAAGGCTGGGACTGCATATTTCTTAGCGGTATAAAGAGTGGTCATAACTGTTTCTGGGCCAATCTGAACTTCGTCTGAATACAGAAATCTGCAAAGCAAGTTGGAAATTGGCAGAGATGATCACTAAGATGTTAGGTAAGCAATTTATCAGAGTTAAAACTTCTGGGGAATATTTTAATTTGCCTAAACTTTGCAGTCTACAAGACATTTGTACATACGTCATTTCATTCTTACTCAATCTTGAGAGGCAGGAAATCTCCCCATTTTACATAGCATTAGAAACCGAAGTTAAGATCATGTCATTGGACAAACCCATGTCTCTAAGCCAAGCCTTTAGAAATTTTTTTTTAAGTTTACTTATTTCTCCGAAGAGAGTATGTGCACCCCTCAACAGGATCTCATGACGTAATTGTTCACTCCTCAGCCTTCCCTGCCAGCCAGGATCAGCAGCGTGTGTGCGCACAGATAGCACGCACAAGTCCACACAGGAACCAAACCCCATCTTCCATGTGGCTTCCAGCATTGCAGAGCAGCGAGCTACCACTGCACCACTGCACCACGCACCACTGTGGCTGGGCCCTCATCTTTGGAGTTGTTTTTGGCCCCCCTTGGCTGCTTAGGATAATAGTGAATCAAGCAACTTAGTAATATATTAAATGACTCCACGTTGCTACATGTTGCTATATGTTTCCTCTTAGCTCACTGCTTCTAACTACTACCACTAGCTTCATAGAATTTCAGATAAAGCATGGATTCTCAGTAATGGCCTAAGTAGTTCTTGTTAAACTGTACTTAAGCTTTGGCGTATCAATTTTAGGCCCTCCTGTGAGTCCTCAGAGACCTTCCTGCTTACTACCCAGTTCTCAGTCACACACTCAATGGCTGAGGTTACTGGAGTATGGCATTAAGAACAAGTATTTCAGGGGCCAGCAGTTGGCGTGGTGGTTAAAGTGCTGGACTCTCACATGGCCAAACAGTTCAAGTCCAGGACCCAGCAGCTTGAAAAATCACACCAGAGCATGAGTGTTGTGCATGCCCAAAATCCCATGAGGAGACTGGAGAAGGGACTGCAGCATGGCCATCTTCCCTGGGAGGAATGATTTCTTATCCCCCACCCCCCACCTCTCTCTAGCAAGAGCATGTACACTATGACCAAAATCTAAAAAACAAACAAAAAAACGAGAATTCCATTTTAATGGCATTTAAAGACATTAGAATATCGTATTTCTAGCACCCAAGTTGTAAGACAGGGTTTAACTGCGAGGCTGACCCACATGGGAAGGTTCTGGGTTCGCGTCTGGAGATCTCCATATGGTAGGGACACTCATGCTCGTAATTTGGGGCTGACTGAAGCTAGAGGCAGATCATGGTATCAAGGCCCTCTTGGGGTCATGTGTGTGTCCGCCTCTCTCGCTTACTCATGGAATATACTTTTAAAAATTAAATAGGACATTTCCATGATTCTTCATATTTGAAAGTGATCATTTAAGCTCTCATATACAATCTCTAAGGACAGGGTACAAAGAAATGATTATATGGCATCACACTCTTCCTGTTTTCTCCCCAAAGATGAATGATTTTCTAAAAACATAAAACTTAGGTTATATTTAGTGTAGTACAAATTTCAAAGAGCTAAGAGGAGAACTTGATTTTATATTAGAAAGTCACAAGATCACACGTATGGAACTCTCTATCACCATGGGCCCATTCACTTTACTCAAAAACACCTAGCCACTAAGTGACCATGAAATACAAGGCACTGTAACAGGTCCTACAGAAGTAAGCATGCAAGTTTTTACCCATAAAAAAGTCCCTAGCTTGGTAATCAAATGATAAAAAAGTAATGTCATAATGTAACCGAAGCACACATTAGGCACCAATACCTAAAGTAATCCCTAAAGATGCCCCTCACAGTACATCGTGTCTTCCAGTACTCACACACGTACACGTACTTGTCCCACTCACATCCAGGCTGGCCCTGTGTGACTGCCTGTAATCAACAGAATGGAGCAGTGACACCAGGCCACTTTGAGACCTAGTCTTCAAGGATGCCCAGTAGCTCCTGCTTTGGTGCTCTTGGGAGCCAAGGGTCAAGAAATCAATCTACCCTGCCAGAAAGCCCAGCTGGAGAAGCCTTCGAAGGATTCCAGCCCCAGCTGCTACCTGACTACGACTGCATGGAAGACCAGAAGAGGCCAAACTGGCCCCGCGACCCCAGTCAACGCTAAGATAATAAAACGGTAGGTCGTTTAAGCAGCCTCTAGGTGTCGGAGTGATTTGTTCTATAGCAACAGATAACCAAAACATGCAGTGAGATTAGATGAGCCACTGCATAATTCTGCCTGTGGGTGTTTTATAGAAGAGGTAAAGACTGAAGATGATCTAAGTGCAGTAATTAAGTGTGGAGATCTCCTAGGCAGGAAGACTGAGAGGTACAAAGTTAAGGAGGCCTTAGAGGGTAGACATTAAAACAAGAAAACGCCTATCAGTTGTTTAGGTTGGGATGCTGAGTGGATGGAGAAGAAATAAGAGATGAAATCGCAAAGTCTCATATATCTGTTCCAATGTTTAAACTTCATCCTACAGGCAAAAACAAGTCATTAAAAGCTGCAAGGGGAACCAGGCTGGTAGCACAACAGTTAAGCACTGTGCAGAGGAAGCCAGATCTCGTGAAGTCAACCAGGGTTCAAATCCCAGCACTGATAGCTTGATAAAACACTCCAGGATGCGTTGTTGCTAAAGCCTGATCCCACATGGCTGATGGTGTGGTTTGAGTCCTGTGACTTGAAAACACAAGGGTCAGAAGGTAGTGTGGGAGTTAAGGAGTTAGACTCCCACATGGCGAACCTCAGTTTGAGTCCCAGACCTGGCGTCACATTGGGCATGTGTGCATTCCTACTGAAACCCTGGGAGAATGGAGAAGGGACTGCCACGTGGGCACTGTCCCTGCATGGTGATCTCTTACTTTCCTTCTCTCTGTCTCTCTCTGGTGAGCACATGCACACTATAGCAAAAACTGAAGAACAAAAACAAAGAAAAACGCATTGGGTACATGTGCATCCGTGCTCAAAATCCCAAAAGGAAGGAGAAATGGGAGAAACTCCCCATGGGGGTTGCCCCCCCCCTTTTTCTCTAACTCTGTTTCCTGTAAGCGAACACAGCCTCTGGCAAATTTTTTAAGACAGGAAAGAAAAAGTACTCTGGGCACACACGCACACACATCTAGGATCCCGACGAGAGGGAGGACTAAAGGAAGGACCGTGACTAGCCCAGACCCACTGAGGGGTGCTCCCTCCACCCACCTCCTACACATGCTTGTGTCCCTGGTATAAAATTTAAAAGCAAAAAAGATGAAGGAGAATCCTATGAGAGCATCATGTTACTGGAGACAAAACTATTAACAGTGTGGGTGGAGTTTACCCAGCTCTCAATAGCGTCTGACACGGTCATCCAGTTTCCACAGCTGACATACTTTCCCACTCCCTCATCTTGTTTTTTAAGAGAGATTTTTGCTACAGGGCACTGGCGTCCCCCGGAGAGACAGAGAGACAGAAAGCAAGAAATGACCCCCTTGGTGGGATGGCCGTCCCACAGTCCCTTTTCCTCTGTTCTCCTCTTGGGATTTTGGGTACACGCACCAGGTCCAGGACGTGAACTGCAAACGACCAAGTGGGAATGCAGCCACGTAACCATTACGCTAACTGCTGGTTCCTCCACTCCCTCTCTCTTAGTTGATTTGCTCTCCGTTCTCATTCCCTTCCCTCCTGCTGTACATCTACATACTGGAAGATCCCAGGGCCCATCCTTGTGCCTTTCTTCATAATCTCCGCTCTTTCCCAGGTCCTTCATTTAGGCTCAAGGTTTAAGTACCATTCACTTGCAAACGCGAAGGCATGGTGGTTAAGGTGGCTGTATCCCAGATGGCCAACTGCGTGGTTTGAGTCACAGACTCAGCAGCTTGGAAAACAAAAACAAAAACAACGCAAGGCATGTGAGCATGCATGCCCAAAATCCTGAAAGGAGGAAGACATAGATGGGATTGCTGTGTGTGACCATTTCCCATTTCCCATTTCCCCTCTCTCTGGCAAATTAAAAAACAAAAACAAAACACCAATCACTCTTGCAAATTCGTTTTGAACAAGAAGCTCTAAGTTTAAGTCCAGACTTAGATCTGTCTATTCGACATCCCTATGGAATGTCTTGGAAGTTCTCTTAGTTCTGCCTTCAAAATATATGCAGAATTTGACTACCTTCCAAGATAACCCACCATCATCTCTTGCCTGGAATACACAAAAGCATCTTATTCATTACCCTGCTGCCTGTGTTACTACCCCTATAAGCTAATCTCCAAACAACTGACATACTGAGATTTTTGTTTTTTTAATTATTATTTATTTAATTTTATTTGTTATTATTGCTATTATTTTAATTTGACTAGAGAGAGACAGAGAGGGAAAAAGAGAAAGCAAGCTACCAGGTCCAGGACTCAAACCGCCGATAGTCATGCAGGAATCCAGTGCCTTAACCACCACACCGCCTGCTAGTTCCACTATACTGAGTTTTAAAAAATGTAAGTGACTGGAGCAAGCAGGTGGTGTGGTGGGTGAGGCACTGGACTCCCACATGGCCAAAGTACCAGACTCGGTGGCTTTCTCTCTTTCTCTCTCTCTCTCTGTTTCTCTCTGGTAAGTACATGTGCCCTATAGCAAATCAAATAATAAATAAATTTTTTAAAAGTGTAATTTAGCTCATAGCACTCACCTATTAGAAAATTTCCAAAGGCTTTCTCCATTCCATATCAGAAAAACTAAAGCTCCGCACGATACTGCCTCGCCTGTCTTTTTAACCTCGGCGTATACCACTTCCCCCTCCCTCGCTTTGCTACTGTCATGTGGGCTTACTCTTGTAGTTCTTCCAACAGGAGAAACTTGGGCCCTAAAACACCTTTTGATCGCTTATAATGCTCCCTCCCACAGGGCTTGGTCATTTTCCTTCAAAACCAGACATCACACTATACCTGCATTCCCCCCCTTCCTGGGCTTTCTGCTTCCTGAGGACAGGGCCTTTCTTTTGCTCTGCTGTATTCCG